ATCAGACTGATAAGAAGCTAAGAGTCATTAGAGAAAAGATGTTACCTGCTCAAAGTTATCCGAAAAGCTATGTAGAAAAGAGCGATGACCAATAACATTTAATGTGGGTGATCAAGTGTTACTTAAACACTCACCATGGAAGAGACTTCTTAGATTCGAAAAGCATGGAAAGTTGAGTCCTTGTTTTATAGGACCATTTAAAGTACTTCAAAGGATATGGAATCAACGATACAAGCTTGAATTACCCAACAAACTACAAAGTATCCATACTACCTTACATGTTTGTTATTTGAGGAAGTACTCAAGAGAAGAAGTTGATATTCACCCACTTTCATAGTTAAGGATTGATGAAGACAAAAGGCTGGTTGAAGAGCCTGAAGCAATCGTTGACCGTAAGAGGAAGAAATTATGACACAAGATGGTTGACTTGGTGCTAATGTGATGGAAACACACTACAGGGTTGAACATCAACTGGGAAACAGAATAAAAATGAAAAGTCGCTATCATCATCTGTTTGTCGATGCGTGATTCCGGGGACGGAGTCGTCCTAAGGGGGATATAATTATAACGTATGTGTTTCCTGCTTTATTAAGTCATAGTTTGTAATCACTTTGCTCAACTATTGTAATCTTTATATGATTAAATACGAAAGGATTATTCATATATTTATGTACTTATATGTTTTATAGGATTTTATGTGTAAATGATATGAGTATATAATAATAAAATAAATAAATGAAAATACGCGTCAAAAATAAAAGATTACTTAGGACAAATAATCTTAACTTAGTTGTAGTATACGTTAAGGATTCCGAAGATATAAGGAGCATTTAAATCTGACTTCATATGAAGAAGTTATGCTTCTTCGAAGTTTTGCGATTAAACCAGCATCTGCGTATCGTAAAAAATAGATTTTTGATAAATTACTTTTTAGCCTAAGTGATTAAAACGAAAGTCGTAGTAATCGTTAAACCGAGAGCATGCATATTCAGAACGTCCAAATCTGACCTGGTGAAAGGAAGTTATGATTTTCTAAGATTCGCCATATCAATATTATGCTCAAAAATCAAATTTTAGGTCGGTTGACTTTTAACCAAAATAATATGAATGGGAGTTGAATATCTCGTGAGTAGGAGTTCAACGATAAAAAGTTTGTCAAAAACGGACACTGTATGAGAGAGTTATGCTTTTTATATGGGATTAACAACCTAAGTCTGTGTGAAAAATATAATGTCAAAATTAGCCGATGGTGTCTAAATGAAAGTTATAGATCTTTTTGAGAGCTTTTCTATGGATATAAAGAACATCAAAAACGGAGTTCGTATGAAGAAGTTACATAATTTTGAAAATATGAAAAAATCGGTACGCATGCGCGTCAAGAGCATGACACGCCAGATAATAACACGTAACCCCACCCAGTTTTTGTCTCATGTCAGGCCATCATTTTGCCACATCACTATGTCCCTACCAAGAGTGCGGCATGACACTATGGTGCACGATGCGCATCCCAAGAAATTTCCCTATAAATAGCAGCTCATTCATTTATTCCTCCTCACACCATTCTATTAATTTCTCTCTGAAACTTTCATTATGTAGCCCATTTTCACCTCATTTATCCTCTACGACAAAGCCTTGCGACCCCCCTCTCCAAGTACTCATCTGATTAGTAGCCTTCGAGTAGGAGATCCCGAGTTAGTAGTCTTCCTGCTTAGATCCCAGTTCTCATCTATTGTACTTTGTATCTGTGTTACAATTACTCTGGTTTCGTACAATTTATAATCATAGTTATAACTCATTACTAAGAACATATAAGTACGATTTATCAATGATTCCAAATCATTATACTACTTGATCTATTTATGGGAGTGATTTCTAGGTCTTTTGGAAAAGGTGTAAGGCGAAGCCCTTCCCAGTTTACCAATCTCCCGTTACTTTAGTGTGTAGTTACTATCACTATCATAATCTAAAATAAAAGTATTATTTATATGAGACAATAAATGCTTTCCTGTATTATATGTGTTATATGCTATTTATATAATTAAGATAATACTTTTGAATTAGAAACCGTATTGGAAATCAATTTCTTTAAATATAAGTCTTGTCTTAGGTTAAAAATAAAACTTTTAAAGGGTACTTAGTTAAAATTAAGTTAGATATCGATTAGTCTCATGGCTGGGGAAGTGTGTGTGAGATCAAAGCGGAGTGTTTCTTCTTTTTCTTGGATGACTAGAAATGGTGGGCGCAGATTAGACAAGTGGAAACTATGTATGGGTCATCGACCAAAATAGATGGAAATACTTGACTATTCTAGGCAGTCTATTGAATTACATTGCTAGCATGGACTTATAACCTCTGGACGTAGTTAAAATGGGATACCATATGTATCAAATCTTTGAACATTGGTTGCCTTATATGACTTACGCTAGCCAAGGACACCCCTAGTTGTGTAGTCTAATAGTTTCTCAAACGATTTATTAGGTTGGGAGATACCTATAAATAATTGTTGCTTTAGGATTTGTGAGGATCGGTTCGGTTGGGTAGTTGATCTTAGGTCATATTTTAGATAAATTATCTGATAACTTTGTTTGCAGGAATGATATTAATTATTATCAATAAACTATTATGGGTTTGAAAACTCTATGTATATCACTAGGTTTTCCCAACCCACTCATTTTTTATGCATCATAGGTAATGGAACCAAGGCTGTAGTAGTCTAGTTAGGATGCTGCGTGGAATAAGAGATGTGCCTGTAATCTGTAGTTTTAGGACCTTTTATATTTTATGTTGTAACGTAAGTTCGGATATGAACGAATGACATCCTCAAGGTTTTAATAAATAACTTCTGTTATCTAAAAAATGTTTTATTTAACTGGAAATTTCCGCATCTCAATTTATAAAGCGTAAAGAATTTTTTTTAATTGTTTCTAAAAAATAGGGGATGTCACAAGGGTGTAGCCACTTTAACAGAAGGTTTACACGGTCAAGTGGAAGAGCTAATGTGTCTTGAAACGGTGTTAGGCAGTAGGGACAATCAAGGAATATAAGAGTGGTTGAGCAGTGGCAGGGGATTCCTGTCAACGAAGCAACTTGGGAAGATCAGTTGATGCAACATAGGTTTCATGAGTTACACCTCGAGGACAAGGTGGGGTTTCGAGGCGGGGGTATTGATATGAATTAGAAAGTAAGTGGCAGGTGGGGTCAGGTCTATGTAAAGAAGAAAGAAAGGGATCAGGGCAAATATTAAGCTATTATAGTAGTTTTGTAATTAGGAGTTTCCTTATTTAATTCTTTTATTTGATTTAGGTTTGTTGGATTATAAATAAGGCCTTAAGCCACTCCTTATAGGCAAAGAATAATCAATATTGTTTTCTTATTTTAATTAGCTTAAATATAAAGCCAATTTTGTGTTACATGTGGTCGGGTTCTATCAAAGTTGGGCATTAAGCCAATTGCCATTATATGTCATATATACCATTAAATTCCATTATATTTCATATATACCATTAAGCTAAGGATATTGCCATCAAGCCATTAAGCTAAGTAGCTATAGTCATTAACAAGCATTAAGCCATTAAGCCATGAAGACAAATTTCATTAATCCAAAACAACAACCATAATACTTTTTCACACTGCTAACTATCATTAATCCCTAACTTGAATACATTTAAGTAGATTAACTAGAAACATAATAAACCACACAAGCAACTTTAATTTATGAGTGAAAAACTTCCCTTTTTAGTGACTCCAATTCATCTCTAACAACTGAAGCATTGTAGTCCATCTTAATCTTGTATATGCCCATCTTATATTCTAATGCAACAGATTTCATGGTAAGATCACAAGCTTCCATATCATGTATCTTCATTGACTTCAGGTTCTTGTGTTGTTTCTTTTGGATCAACCCACTCTCATGAGGTATATTTCCCTTAATACTTGCAAAAAAGGTTTAAAAGAACATAAAAACAAAAAGGCATAACTTGATTTACCATTGAGTTAGGCAACACTTTGGAGCGTCTTTTAGGGGTTATCTTTAGTCCAGGATGTCCTCAATCTAGAAGGTAACCTACATGTACACGAAATTGCAATTTACATTTCATGATTTTGTTTGAAAGAGTAAGAAGAATGTGACATGGCCAACTGTCTAGTTTTAGGCCTCAAATGAGGGAAGAAGTGAAGAATGACCTTATACTGTGTACCAATAGCAATGTATATGCCAATTACGCTGTAACCTTCAATAACCAATCATAAGTGTATGTTTTGAACACAAAATGACATTTTACTAAGTAAATGATGTACAAAAAAAGTGTGACCAAATGTGAACAAATTTGAAAGTTTACTTAGTAAATGATGTACAAAAAAAGATGATGATATGTGAATAAAATTAACAGTTGGTTACCCTCCTAAGTCACTTTCCTATTTAAATATAAACTTAGTTTTTAACCTTTTTTTAAATATAAAAAAAGAGTTTTAGTTGACTTGGATTGCAAGAGTTGCCTATATTATTATTTGAAATTTTAAATATCCTACTACCTCGTGTTCTTATTTATTTTCATACTTATATAAAATAATAACATGTAATCCACTAATTCTCTCTCTTAATCTTTTATTTATTTATTTAGACACTTTCTTGATCTAGTGAGTAGGAGTATGATTAGAAAAAATGTAAGAAGATATTTGATTTCTCTTATTATTTACACTTTCTTTTATTGATAACTTGACAATAAACTTATTCTGTCTCTTTTGCCTTTGCCTCTCTTATCAGTCTGCTATTAGGTATCTATGATTTTGCGAAGTGATCTCGTCCACCCCATCTATTTTCTACCGGTCAACCATTTGCCAAAGTATTTGTAAATTCCACAACATTGCCCTACTTAATCCTGTCCTTTGGTAAATTCTTATTCCATAGTTTCATTTTGTATGTTTAATATTTTGTAGATTCTTTGACTTAAAATTTGATATAATATATACTCTAGGGTTTCACAAAACCTAAGCACACATCAATGGACCTCCAAGGAACCCGGGCGACAACCCTTCACAAGCAAAAAAGCGGAAAAAATGGATGTTGTCAAGGCCGAAAAACTCCGACGTCTTCAAGTAGATGCTTCCACCGGACCACTGTTTCATCTAGCATTGACGATGTTGATCCTCTTGCCACCAACTATGGTGTCATTCCACTCAAAGAGGTACAGTCGATAATGGTTTCACTTCAAGTGTGGACCACGATGAAATCTGTTAGGTAGCGTTTGGTACATGAGACTAGATGAGACATAACAGAAAAAGATCATGAAAGATAGTGTTTGATGTCGACGAAAAATAGGTAAGATGACACAAAGAATAAGGTCTTGTTTGATAGTTGCTGTCTGGGAAAGTTTTCTGACTGGGAAAGAAACCATGTTGTTTGGTTGTACGTCTTACTGACTGTGTTGAATGATGAAAAATGACCATATTACCATTTGTGACATGTTTATAATAAAAAAAACAACACACACACACACACATATATATATATATATATATATATATATATATATAAGCATGTGTACAAAAAATAGGATATATATATTCAAAATTCAACGTGTATGTTCTTAAATTCAACATGTAAGTACAAAAACAACACACACACACACACACACACACACACATATATATATATACACACACAGTAAAGTCTCAATATTTTTGGAAAAGTTTCGAAAAAGTCATAATTTTTTTCTTTTTTGAATAAAAAAAAGCCTAATAATCCGGATAAACCTAACAATTCAATCCTCTTCATCCGGTAACCCTCATTTAACCGGTTATAAATGTCTATGTGAGGTGGATGTGATTCACTAAAGAGAATCAAATATAAAGCTCATCCGCACGCATAAGAGTTTCATTCACTCGTGCCCTAAAATCGAACCACGCAGAAAGCGAAGTAGGAGGATGATCCACAAATGCCGTCTTTATCTTCTATAGGAAGCAGAGGATCAAATCAAAGAGAGATGAATCATCTAAGAAGAACATTCTATTATGGTGATCCCGTTGGAAGATGGACTTCATGGACTCCGTTAAACCCCAGAAGAAGGTTTATAGGCTGCCCAAATTACCAGGATGCACTCAAAGACTACAAATACTTTCAATGGGTGGATCCTCCTCTACCAAAATAGTGTTATGCAAATCTCTTACTAGAGTTTCACAACAGTGGTAACTTGGAGAACAATGCAATATTCCGAATTCGATCAGATTGCAAGAAACGTGGCTTAGTAGGAGGGGACACATGTAAACTTCCTATGGAGCAACGTTGTTCTAATGCACACTACACATAGGAATGGTGTAACGCGCACCCCCAAAACTCGACTATAAATAGAGATATGTTCCATTCACTCTAGCACACCTCCAAACACTCCACTCTTTCTCTCTGGTTCATGTGTTGGCTCGTGGAGCGGTCCCTGGAGTTTCGAGCACGTCTCTACGCTACATTAGTGGTTTCAAACCCTAGAATGTGTTCACAACCCCTATTTTATTATTTTAAAAATGTTTTCAGGGGGGATACTGTTGGGTTTTAGCCATAAGAACTTTCCTATGTGCGCATGCAAAACCCTATTGCTTGGATCTAGGCTTTCTATCAAACATGCTTTTGAATCCAAGACTTCTAATGGCTAATTAGGTTAAACAATAACATTAATACAGATCTAGAATCATACCTTTGAGTTCCTTGTTGATCTTCTTGTCTTGGAGCTTCTAGAGTCACAATTGTCACTCCTCTGATGGTTCACAAACACCAATAGCAAGCAAGATGATTTAGGAGAGAGGAGAGGGGATGGAATTCGGCCAGAGGTTCCTTCTTTAGGTTCTGAAAGCTTGTCACGAATTCCACACCCCAAGGGCCTATTTATACCTTTAGACTCCTTAAGGGTTTCACCCTAAACCCTAATTGGATAATCTTCACTTAAGGCTATCCAAATCCATTCCATAGATATCCTTATGGACTATTTTGAGCTATCCTAAAGCTCTTAGAAACCGTCCAAAGTCCATCCTAATGGATTTATAGTCTAAAGTCTAACTATCAAACAATTGACAGTTTATACCCTCTTATTTAATTAATCTCTTTAAGTCACCAAATTAATACCAATTAATTATGACTTATATTAATCAAATAGCTAAATATTATTCCTTATAATATTTACTCTCTCTTAACAAATCATCCTTCAAGTTGCTATGGTGAAGGCAACCCAAAAGGACCATGCACCACCGAATATAGTTATAGCCTTAGACACTATTCCAACAGTCTCCCACTTGGATAAGTCTAGTAACTATACAAGTATAATACGGTTTGCAATCGTAGCTCTCAAAGACGCTGTCAACTCTGATCTAATCAATCTTGTCCTTTAGATAAGGGATCGTACAGTCCTCTGTTAGATATCATGCTGACAATCCTATGGAATGGTTAGTCTAGCATTTAGATTTCTCGATCTTCGATTTATTTGACATAGAACTTAATCGAACACATCAATTCAGTTCTGACCGGGCCCGGCACATAAGTCAAATCAAATCATCGAGTGGCCAAGATATCTCTTCTACCCTCTTAGGATAAAATTTACAGATAAACTTCGACTTATATGCATTTACTTATTCATTAACCAACTATACACAACAATGCGTTTTATAACATCAAGTTACTGATGCGTTTTCGCATTATCAATGCACAATCAATAACAAATAATAAACCATATATCTAGGTTTTAAGACCATATGATATTATCGTCTTGCGATCACCTTTTATATCGTATTCCATAAGTGATTCCAGCAAGCGCGGGTTTATTCCAATGCTCAAAACCAGTTCGTAAGCACTCATGAACGTTGCAGCAACTCTTGCTATGTCTAACACCATTTAGACACTCTACACACCAATTCACGACAATCTTCATTCATATCTACTCCCAACATATGAACGATTGTGGACCATTTGAATAATTCGATTATTCCTAATAAACTCAATTATTCTGGAAGTCAAAACATGCAAAGTGAAACAATAGTTAAACAACTAACATGTGATAGTAACTTTACTCATAAATAAAACTTCTTTATTTAATCATCAAATGTTAATTACATTTATCTATTATACGTTTCTAATACAATCTAATCTATGCTAATATCATCCTTCAGCCCAATACTCCTAGCATGCTGTAAGTGCTTAACCCTACTCAGTCCCTTCGTAAGCGGATCTGCTGGGTTATCTTCTGATGATATCCTCTTCACTACGAGTTGTCCTTCTTCTACACGATGTCTAATGAAGTGATATTTTCTGTCGATATGTCGAGATCTACCATGATCCCTCGGTTCCTTGGTCAAGGCAACCGCACCTTCGTTATCACAGAAAATCTCCATGGGCTCCTTTATGGCCGGTACAACTCCAAGATCACCGATGAAGTTCTTCAGCCATATTGCCTCCTTCGACGCTTCGCTCGCTGCGATGTACTCTGATTCGCACGTTGAATCAGCTACGGTTTCCTGCTTGGAACTTTTCCATGTCACTGCTCCTCCATTTAGGGTAAAGACCCAGCCCGACTGCGAACGGTAGTTGTCCCTGTCGGTTTGAAAGCTGGCGTCACTATACCCTCGCACCTTCAAGTCATCACTCCCTCCAAGGACTAAGAACCATTCTTTCGTTCTCCGAAGGTACTTAAGGATGTTCTTCACCGCAATCCAATGTGCTTTGCCAGGGTTCCCTTGATATCTGCTAACCATGCTCAAAGCGAAGGCTACATCAGGGCGAGTACAAGTCATAGCGTACATGATTGAGCCAACTGCGGAAGCGTATGGTACTCGGCTCATTTCTGCTATCTCGGCTTCGGTACTCGGACTTTGAGTCTTACTCAACTTGGCATTTCCTTGTATCGGTAGTTCTCCCTTCTTTGAGTTTTCCATACTAAAACGTTTTAGTACCTTCTCCAAGTAAGTATTCTGACTAAGTCCAATTAGTCTCTTACTTCTTTCTCTTACTATCCTTATTCCCAAATGTAAGAAGCCTCTCCGAGGTCCTTCATAGCGAAGCACTTCCCGAGCCAGGACTTAACCTCCTGCAGAGTCGGGATGTCGTTTCCTATGAGTAATATGTCATCGACATATAGAACGAGGAAGCTTACTACACTCCCACTGGCTTTGACATACACACAAGATTCGTCTTCGCTTCGTACAAATCCAAACTCTTTGACTTTCTCATCGAAGCAAAGATTCCATCTGCGAGACGCTTGCTTAAGTCCATAAATGGACTTCTCAAGCTTACACACTCTATTCGGATGCTTCGGATCCACAAACCCCTCTGGCTGAGCCATGTAAACATCCTCAGCCAACTTTCCGTTAAGGAAAGCGGTCTTGACATCCATTTGCCAAATCTCATAATCATGAAATGCGGCAATTGCTAGCATCACTCTAATAGATTTAATCTTCGCAACTGGCGAGAAGGTCTCATCATAGTCAACTCCGGGAGTTTGAGTAAAGCCCTTCGCAACCAATCGCGCTTTGTATGTGTGTACGTTCCCATCCACGTCGGTCTTCTTCTTGAAGATCCACTTGCACCCTACGGTCTTACGTTCGGGCACGTAATCAACCAAATTCCAAACTTGGTTATCGTACATGGATTGGATCTCGCTATCCATCGCCTCTTTCCATTTCGCAGACTCCGGGCCTGCCATGGCTTCCTTATAGCTATTAGGTTCATCAAGATTTATAGTGTACCATCACTAATATACGTGTCCCCTTCGGTAGTAATATGAAAACCATAAAACTGGGGTTGAACTCTAAATCTATCGGAACGTCTAAGAGGTAAGGATTCGTCAATCGGTTCAACCGGAGTTTCCTCCTCGGGTTGAACGCCAGCGGTAGAGGTTCCTTCATCTATCGATTCTTGAATCTCTTCAAGTTCGATTTGCCTCCCACTGTCTCCTTGGCTTATGAGTTCTCGCTCTCGGAAAACTCCTCTCCTCGCAACAAAGATAACATTATCTTTCGGTCTATAGAAGAGATATCCAAAGGAAGTTTGCGGGTAGCCGATGAAAATACATCGCTCACTTCGAGGTTCAAGCTTGTCGTGAGTATCTCGTCTTACGAAAGCCTCGCAACCCCAAACCTTGATATGTGCCAACGAGGGAACTTTCCCCGTCCACATCTCGTGAGGTGTTTTGGCAACCTTCTTGGTAGGGACTCGGTTAAGGATATGGGCGGCAGTCTCTAAGGCATACCCCCAAAAGAAGATAGGTAGTGAAGCACGACTCATCATAGAGCGAACCATATCCAATAAGGTTCGATTACGCCTTTCTGCCACACCATTCAATTGCGGTGTCCTAGGAGGCGTCAATTGCGAAACTATTCCACACTCCTTGAGATAATCGTGGAATTCAAGACTTAGGTACTCTCCTCCTCGATCGGATCGAAGCATCTTGATTTTCCTGCCCAATTGATTCTCCACTTCATTCTTGAACTCTTTGAACTTTTCAAAGGTTTCTGACTTTTGCTTGATTAAATAGATATACCCATATCTACTATAATCATCGGTAAAGGTCACATAGAAGCGGTTCCCATCCTTCGTGGTTGATCTAAAAGGTCCACATACATCGGTATGTATTAGGTCTAATAGTCCCTCACCCCTTTCACAAGTACTCGTGAAGGGTGACTTAGTCATCTTTCCAAGTAAACAAGACTCGCATGTGTCATCTTCCCTAAGGTCGAATGACTCCAACACTCCATCCTTTTGGAGTTGGGCTATGCGTTTCTTGTTGACATGTCCAAGACGACAATGCCACAAGGATGCTTTATCCATACTAGTGGAAGAATCAATATTCAAAACATCATTTCCTAAGTTATCAACAATCATAACAGTTTCATATATTCCATTACATGGTATAGCTTCAAAGTAAAAGACACCATTTAGATAAGCCAAAATAGAACCATTCTCATTATTAAAAGAAAATCTAAAACCTTGTCTATATAAACCATGAAATGAAATGATGTTTCTAGCCATTTCTGGCGAATAGCAACAATTGTTCAAATTAAAACTAAACTATTCTTAAGCACCAAAGAATACACTCCAATCTTGGTCACAGGCGACGATCTTCTGTTCCCCATGATTAGATTGATCCTTCCTTGCTCCACATCCCTACTTCCTTTT